AGTATATGTCAATATTATATAATATGTCTTTGTTGTAAATGTCTGTAACATGTCTGTAGATTTTATTTTACTTCTATTTTTTATTTTGTTCTATGTTAATTTTATTATTTTTATTTGCTTTGGCAACACTGATTGTACCTATCGGTCATGCTAATAAAGCACCTTGAATTGAATTGAATTGAATTGAGACAGAGACCAGGAATGTGACACCTTCACAGGACAACACCGGCCTGTTCCTTGTTTCTCTGTGTGCTAAGGGCCCAGAATAGTCGTGTCTACTGAACCCCCCCTCCTGCGATCCCTGCTTACCGTCTGCTCCACCACAATGGGGATGAGGGGGCTCCTGCAGGGGGCGCTGTGATGCATCAACCGACATCCCCTCAGCAATGACACTCCGCCGTGTAATAATCTCTGCAAGGAGCAGGAAGAGAAGAAGACAGATCAAGACAGGATTGTATTTATGTAGGCCTGTTGCTCCAATAAATCACTATATACAGTCTGCACTATTATTGAAGGGTAACAGAGAGCGGCATCTCTCTGTAGCACTCTGGAGCTACAAGGGCAGATGTGTCTGTGTCCTCAGTACAGCACTCTGGAGCTACAAGGGCAGACGTGTCTGTCTCCTTGGTATAGCACTGTGGAGCTACAGGAGCAGACGTGTCAGTGTTTACACAGAAGACAACTGCAGTATCACAGTAACAAGAGCTGCACAAGAAGTTAGGTGTATATGTATAGTGTAAATTAATTTTATTAATGCCAGCCAAAATAACTACAATATGTCACTGCACAAGTCCGTTAGTGTTGCAATAATGCCTCAGAAAAGTTTACAGGCGAAATGTCAAGAGCACACACATTAGCAGCACGAAATACTACTAGTAACCAATGTTAAACCACCGAAATCCCGGCGTCCCCATGTCGGAGCTACACACGCGTCATTACACAAGACAAGATATAAAATATTTCCAAATGTCGCTCTTCCCACAGCCTCTGTGTGATTAAGAGTCTGCCAGCAGGCCTCGGGACTCCGGTGCAAAGGGAACAGACTCTGTCTGGAAACTCAACGTAAAAAGAAAAGTTCTGTGACTCGTAACTCACCCTGCTCAACATTGCAATCCTGTTTTTGCAAAACCGGAATCACTCTTTGACCCACTGAAGCCAGACAGTAAAACGCCGTGGGTCCCCGATCATGTGACAGTGTTGCCCGACTGTGTATCCTCTTTTAACCGCACCTTTTGGCCGGCCAGCCAGCCACACGGCAATATAAGGTTTCATAAATATATACGCCATTTTCAGCCCGAATAAGAAAGGTTACAAAGTAATTTAAGAATGCATCTTGTTCTGGAGTTTGTTCCAGGTGTGGTTTTTAGTTAAAGTACAGAAACCACGTGACTGTTGATTTGGTAGCGCCACCTGCTGCTGCGTTTGTTCATGTTACTGCGGTTCAATGGTTTACAGATTGAGGAGACTGTGAACAGTTTCTTCACTATACAGATTGTGGAGACTGTGGACAGTTCCTTCACTATACAGATTGTGGAGACTGTGGACAGTTCCTTCACTCTACAGATTGTGGAGACTGTGGACAGTTCCTTCACTATACAGATTGTGGAGACTGTGGACAG